GTGGAAGCACAGAAGACCCCAAAGAGTCGAAGCTATTTTGAGAAAGAACGGAGCTGGAGGCATCACACTTCCTAATTTCAAACTATATTACAAAGCTATAGTAATCAAACTGTATGGTATTGGGTCTGAAAACAAAACCAGACACAGATTAAAGATAGATTAACAGAAGATTAACATGGATATTAACAGAAACAAACCCACATATGTATGGTCAATTAATTCACAACAAAGAATCCCAGACTACACAACAGGGAAAGAACAGTCTCTTCAATAGTGTTGGGAAAACACAGCCACATGCAATGAATGATTCTGGACCGCTATCTTACACTATACACAAAAATTAACTCAAAATAAGTTAAAGATTTAAACGTAAGATCTGAAACCATAAAACTCCTAAAAGAAAACATGGGGGGGGGGTGAGCTCCTTGACATTGGTCTTGGCAATGATTTTTTTGTATATGACATCAAAAGCAAAGACAACAAAAGCAGAAACAAGTGGTACTACTTCAAACTAAAAAGTTTCCATACCATGATGGTAAAGGAAACCATCACCAAAAATGGTCTCCTATGGAATGGTATGAAAAGGTACGACAAGGTAACCTATAAAATGGGAGAAAATATTTGCAAATCATACATCTAAGAAGAACTCATATCTATATATCTATCTACCTCTATCTACATATAGATATGTTTTATATAGATAGATAGGTAGATAGGTAGATAGATATAGGTATATATATGACTCATACAACTCAACAGCAAAACAAACAACCCAATTCAAAACTGGGGAGAGTAACTGAATAGACATTTTGCCAAAGAAGACATCCAGATGGCCAACAGACAACTGAAAAGATGCTCAGCATCACTCATCATCAGGGAAATGCAAATCAGAACCACAATGAGATAATCAACTCATAACTATTAGAAAGATTATATCAAAAAGATGAGAAGTCCCAAGTGTTGGCAAGTATGTACAGAAAAGGGAACCCCTCTGCACTGTTAGTGGAATTGTAAATTGGTGAAACCATATGCTTCAGCAATTACACTTCTGGATACATACCCAAAGGAAATGAATCACTATCTCAAAGAGATATCTGCACCCCCATGTCCACTGTGGCATTATATAAAATAGCCAAGACATGGAAACAACCTAAGTGCCCAATGATGGATAAATGGATAAAGAAAATGTGGTAAACACACACACACACACACACACACACACACACACACACACACACACGAATATTATTCAGCCATAAAAAAAGAAGGAAATCCTGCCATTTGTGACAACATGGATGGACCTTTAGGGCATTATGCTAATGAAATAAGAGAAAGACAAATACTATATGATCTCACTTACATAGAGAATCTAAAACAAGGGGTAAAACCCCCAAATTCATAGATACAGAGAACAGATTGGTGGTTGCCAGAGGTGAGGGCTGGGGCAAAGGTGAGTGAAATGGGTAAAGATGGTCAGACTTCCAGGCATAAACTTCCAGGTATATGAAATAAATCTTGGGCATAGAATGCACAGCATGGTGACTATATTCTTTTTAAAAGGAAAGAACAGACCCCGCACACCCTACAAACTCAATTCCACAATATTTAAAGGTAACAAAGCATTTCTTTCCTGTACACAGTTTTTAAATAATTTTTCCTGATTATGTAAGAACACACATTCGTTGTAGAAAAAATTTAAATATATATGTATAGATATACATATATATGTATATAAACACATATTTTGCTTATTATTTTTTGGATATATATCTATATCTATAGATAGATAGATGATAGATATAGATATCTATAGATAGATATAGATATAGATATAGATATAGATATAGATATAGATCTACAATCCTGGAACCTATTTTAAACATGTTAGCGTGTAAATTTCTTGCAGTTCTCACCTGAAGCCAACGGGATTTTGGATCTGCTCAAGATGATCCTAACAGCCAGATTCTGGGTCATGCCCACTATGGAACAGATCTTAAGAAACGGCAGTGAAATCCCAGCATGGAAGGGAGCTCAGTAGCGCGCGACCCCACGACTCGGGAGACATTCCTAGGTGCACCCAATCCCTGCTCCAATGGCCGCCCCTCCTGGGATTCTTCATCCCCGGTGCCCTGGTCCCCGCCTCCACCTGCCAGGAACGCCCGGCTCCGTGCTGCCCACCAGCGGGCATGTACGATCAGGATCAGCTGGTGCGCGACATCCGCAGTCCATCCATTTCCACCCAGGCTGTGCGGCCCGGCCGCCGCCTCCCTGCGGTCAACGCGCAGAGGGGCCCGCTGGCCGCCACTACCCGGTGCGCAGGGCCTCCAAGCTTCCGACGCCTACAAGCTCAGTGAGGCCACAGCCCTGAGGCCCCTCCTCTGAGAACTGAGGCTGAATCGAAGGAGGCGGGGCCTCGCAGCACCTTCCCTCCAGCCGTCCTGGAGGGGTGTGCGCCCTAGCCGGTTGCCTGGAGCCCGGCTCTAGTTTCACACTCAGGGCCCTTGTTCAGGATCCAGTTTCATGTGTTTTCGGGGCTAGAATTGTCCCAGCCCCGCTTTTCCGGATGGTAAAACAGAAGCCAAGAGGCGAGACTTCCCGTTGGAGGCTGGAACATTTCCGTCTCTCTGGCGCAGCTTTGCTGATTGTCTGTCCTGGCGGGAGCTTCGGTCTCAGCCCACCAGAAGGAGAAGTTTGGAGTTCTGTCCCTTTGCTGGTTGCAAGAAATTGTTCACGTTACTTAACTTGCTGGGCCTCAGATTCCTCCTGGGTTTATTCATTGCTGAGGATCAAATAAAATAATCTATGTAAAACACCTAATGCAAATCAGGTGCTTGGTAAACCTTTGTGAATGGGTGGGACCAACTTCTTCCTAGAATTAAATTCTGGGAGGATTTTATGTTGTAGATCCTTACAGGAAACTGCAGAACATAATGGAAATGTCTTCTGGTGCAGTTTCATAAAAGATGTGGAAACATTATTCAGGTGACTGTGCCTCTTACTAAAATTAGATATTGAGTGACCATTCAAAGGCAATTTGATAGCTACAGTTTTAGAGACAATTCTGTGGGAGCTCTTAGAGCAGCATGCATGTTGTTTATTCTGTGTGCGTTGTGACTTTTCACATGGTTAAGGTCTTACTGTATTATAGGTCTATAGGTCTAGTGGTCTGACGGCCAATGTTCACGTTTGTAACTTACTACTGACACAGCCTGACAGTTCTCCAGAGAGCAGCAAACACACACAGTGCTGGGGCACGGCAGGTGGGGGGGTGGGGATAGGGGTATGACAGTGACCCAACCAGCAACCCCACATAGCCCCTCTTTTGTCTTCTCAAACCACTCATAACATTGTTTCGTTCAGACCCAGCTGATGAAATTATGAAGCGTGGTTTGTGAGCAAATGGTTAAGAATTCTTGAGACGTTTTTGGTGCAAAAAGGTGATTTTTATTATAGCATATAGAGAGGACCAGTGGGCAGAAAGAGCTGTCCTGGGATTGTGAGGAGTGACTGATTATATACTTCTAAGTTTGTAGGGGGAGGGGATAGAGATAAGTTTTTAAGGAATTTTGAAGCAAGGCTTTTAGGACCTTGAGGGGCTAGCTGCTAAGATAAGGTTGCTTTTCACTTTAATAAAACATAAACATTAAGGCACTAAGGCAGCATGAATTTCTTTAGGAAGGTCACACTCTGTATGTTTCAGGTGTTTACCAGCCGGCTGCAAGCTGCAAGGAGTTTTAATTTTAAGCTACATTTCTCTTGCCTTTGTTTCCCTTATCACCAGCCTCTCCCCACGGCTAAGCTGTTGGCTTGGGTACAATGGAGAAAGCGGACCAGCAACAGAAGGGAAATACGAATCGCATCAGTGAAGTTCTGATTGCATCAGGATAGGTCCTGGACGAAGTCCTTGAGGGTGTCTCCAAAACACAGCACAGCCCTCCCACTTGAACCTGAACCTCACCTGTCGATAGGTTCCAGTGTCACTGAGCATGGTGATCATGTTTCTAGCAAGTAACACAAGTGGCCACAGAAACCTTAGCCACCTTGTCTCTAATACTTGCAGTAAAACAAAATTGTCTGGTATTTACAACTCAGGATGTGGACTTAGACTGCACCACTGTGAACACAACCTGTCTAATCATCTCCGGCCCCTGGTGGCAATTTAAAATGTTCAGGGAGAGGTGCCTGGGTGGCTCAGTTGGTTGAGTGTCTGACTTCGGCTCAGGTCATGATCTCATGGTTCATGGGTTCCAGCCCCGCATTGGGCTCTGTGCTGAGGGCTGAGAACCTGGAGCCTGCTTTGGATTCTGCATCTCCTTCTCTCACTACCCCTCCCCCTCTCACACTCTGTAACTCTCCCTCAAAATAAATAATGAAAACAATTTAAAAATTAAAAAAAAAAGTTCAGGGAAACTGGCTGTTGGCCATCTGAACAGGTGTGTGACCACAGATCTCTAGGATTGCAAGCTACAATCACAGAAAAAAAGCAGAAACACAGGTGGCCAATGGGACTGCTTTCTCTCCTAAGTTAACTGCTCTCCCTGCTTCTCTGCAGACTTCTGGGACACTCGCTTGCAACAAGTTTTGGGATAGAGCTCACCACAGGGGGTCTCCAAGGCCTGCAGCTCCTCACAGGGTGTGTCACTAACAGTGCCACCGAATAGAGAAGAGAGAGGTACTAGGTACCCTCTTGTGCCTGGAAAAGAGCCACACTCTGCCCAAGTGAAGACCTGAGGGCCTCGCAGCTACGAGCATGGATGGGACCTCTCAGAGCAGGGGGTTTGCTAAGCAGCTAGTGCTGGCCCGGCCGACATGAGCACAGACCTTCCTGAATGGCAGTTTCGGATCCTAGAGAACATCAGACATGTGAACACACGAACATACACGAGTCCAGAACATGGGATTTCAAAACGGGGCCTTTTATTTTTGGATTGTCACCACAGGTCACTTTGCATTGTAGGCACATTGTGAAGTGTCAGAGGAAAAGTGGGTCAGCAGGAGAGAGGAGAAGGACCACGAACAGTGCCAACCATCTCCTTATGGGGAGGAGAATCGGCCACAGAACAGGATACTGTTGGTTTTGCTGTGCTGGATGAAGAAAAGGAAGGGGTGGTCGGCACAGAACCTGGGCATGATTCTTGCGCATCGCAACATCATGATGGCCGCAGTGGCAGCCGCGGCCTCCGTGCCTTCCTCGTTGACCTCCACAAAGGACTTGTGCACCACCCTGGACAGATACAGGTCTTTCCTGGACGACATTCCAGAAAAGTCTGCCTTGGCCTGCTCGAAGGCATCGGTCATGCCCAGCGTGCAAAGGACGTTCTCCATGTTGTAATTCTCCTCCAGTTTGAATCTAGGGAGGAACACTTCCACCTCCTCTTCATCCAGCATGTCTGGCCTCGTCCATTCTGTGAATTTCTCATAAGTGATTTCTTTCTCCACCTAGAAGAGAGAAGATTTTTAGATCCAGACCCGTGCTGCCCAACAGAACTATCTGCTGGGATGTGAATGCTCTGGGCTTTGCGGGGCGAGACAACAGTAACAGGAAGTGACAATAGCTTTAGAAACTGTTCACACGATCCCCTTGCGATCATAGCGTGATTATTGCTCAGCATTTGTTACCGTTTTCAAATCGATGTTTTCATCTGGAAGCATGATGATCATATTCAGCTCTTTACCCACATAGGGAAGCACCAGAATTTGGGTGAATATTTCTCCAATATAGGTTATTTTAAAGGTGGATTTTTTAAACATCATTTGCACAGGTTTCTCCTCATTCTAAAATGGAAACAGATAAATGTTAGGTTGAAATAAGACCCAGTGGACACATTGGACAAATCGACAGAACTGGCCAGCCTGGGTTCTACAAACACTTACTTCCTTGGTTTCCAGAATACCACCTCAGCCCCCTCTTTTGCCAGCCCATCTTCATTGCCTCAGCCTCCAAACCCTGGGGTACTCAGGGCTCAGTCCTTACACTGCTTGTCTCCTGGTGACCTCAATCCTGTGACTTTATTTTTTTTTTTTTTGTAACGTTTTTTATTTATTTTTGGGACAGAGAGAGACAGAGCATGAACGGGGGAGGGGCAGAGAGAGAGGGAGACACAGAATCGGAAGCAGGCTCCAGGCTCTGAGCCATCAGCCCAGAGCCCAATGCGGGGCTCGAACTCACGGACCGCGAGATTGTGACCTGAGCCGAAGTCGGCCGCTTAACCGACTGAGCCACCCAGGCGCCCCAATCCTGTGACTTTAAACAGAATCCCCCAACTTAGATTTCTAGCTGGGACTTCTCCCATGTACTCCACATATATTACACTCCCAAACATCTTACTGCTTACTTGGGACCTGCATTTGTACATTAAAGAAACCTCCAATGTCATATGTCACACTGGGCTCTTCATATTCCCTTCCAGGTCTGCTCTACCTACAATTTTCTTCATCTCAAGTGACGGCAATGCCACTCATCCCATTGTCAAAAACTAAGGAGTACCCCTGACTCCTGTCTTTCACCGCACAATGGACTCATTAACAAATCACATTGGCTCTGCTTTTAAAATATTAACATAAATGAGATCACACCTTTCTGCAGCTCCCCCTCTACTCCCAGGGAGTAAAAAAGCTCAAGTCCTTAAAAAGACCTGTAATGCTGACAAGAGCTTGTCCCGCATGCCCTGTGCTCCCATCTCCCTTTGCCCCTTGATGGTTCCATGGTCAGTCCCAACAAGTTCGACCCCAAAACCTGGAGAGCCCACCTGAAACCGTACCCCCATCCACAACCTGTGTCCCTCCTCTGTGTCTGTCTCTGGATCACTACCACTAGCTCATACACTCTTCTTTTCTTATGTACGCTGTCTCATCCCCAGAAAGACCTAATCTTCATGGGAGGGATGAGTCGCTGGTTTTGTACACACTGTGATAGTACCTTGCACGAAGCCTGCTCTCAAACCAACATCTGCTGAATAAATGGATAAACAACTAAAGGACAGGAAAACTGAAAGGACCAGGCAAAATGAACACATCTTACTAGGAGAAAAATGCATTTGCCACCAGTGCATCCCCAGCCAGGCAGTAAGAAAGACCCAAGGACAGCAACCACATCTCAGCCAACAGCCCTCCTCCGCTCCTGATTCATGTGCAGTGTAAGACCTACAGCTGCTGTGAATCTGTCTGGCCCCAAGCTGCAGTCCCCAGTTCTCTGGGGCAGCACATTATTCTGTATTAGATGGAAGAAACTTCTGTTACCGCCTTCCATTGGTGCCTCTCAAAGGCTCGCCTGAACTGGCCTCAGCCACACCTGCCCCCTCGTTCCTCGTTCCTCATTCAGTCCTCGGCCAGTTATCAGCACACTTGTTCTATAATAACAGGCCAGGTAGTAAATATTTTCAGCTTTATGGACCATACAGTTTCTGTCCCAACTGCTCAACTCTACAGTTGTAGCACGAAATACCTAAACAAATAGATGTGCCTGTGTTCCGTTAAAACTTTATTAAAAAAAAAAAAAAGTGGTGGGCTGGCTTTGACCTCAGGGTGCATGCGGTTTGCCAAGCCTTGCCTGAGGCAATTTCTCCTTCTACCTATCCAGGGCTCAAAGCCCCTAGTCTTAGAATATAAAAGGATCCAATCTCAGAAAGGGAATGATTCATTAAATACACAACTGTGTATATAAATTTAATCTTATTTAGAAATAAAGGCATTTTAAAAATCCAGATGAACTAAAATCTGTTCACTTTCAGACACAACGACCTCCACCCCCCAAAGGCCTGTGCACTCAACACCTACTACCCTCCTTCTGTCTTTCTCCACTGGGGAGATGAGGAAGCAAGACAGAAGTCTTCACCTCCCCCCAGCTATGGCAGAAGCCACACCTGACAGAAGACCTAACTCTGGCCCATGAGATACAGAAGACAGGTTTCACTTTCTGAATGTCAGAACCCTGAAGGAGGCTTTGCTCTGCCTTTTGTCCTTTCCCTTCCTCCTGCCTGGATGACAGATGCCATGACGGTGACCCTGAAAAAGGGCCACATGCTAAGCATAGCAGAGCAGGAAGAGAGACAGTTGGTTCCCTGGGAGCGCCTGCCACCCCGGTACCCCGGCAGCCCTACTCCCTGCCCACCTGCAGGTCTCTGCTAGGGGACATGAACTTTCCATGAATCAAGTCCTAATATACATCTTATTAAAGATTAATTTCAAGGAAAGAAATAATTTCCCCAGGTGAAAACAGGGCAACTCATTTCAGAATAAAGCTCAAAGGGGGGCAGCTGGGTGACTCAGTCAGTTAAGCATCTGACTTCAGCTCAGATCCTGATGTCACAGCTCATGGGTTCGAGCCCTGTGTCGGGCTCTGTGCTGACAGCTTGGCGCCTGGAACCTGGAGCCTGCTTGGGATTCAGTGTCTCCTTCTCTCTCTGTCCCTCCCCCACTTGTATTCTGCCTCCCTCCTTCAAAAGTAAACATTAAAAAAATTAAAAAAAAAAAAAAAAAAAAGAATAGGAGCACCTGCATGGCTCAGTCGGTTGAGCATCCAACTTTGGCTCAGGTCATGATCTCATGGTTCATGGGTTCAAGCCCCAAATCAGGCTCTGTGCTAAGAGCTCGCTCAGAGCTTGGAGCCTGCTTCGGATTCTGTGTTTCCTGCTCTCTCTGCCCCTCCCCTGATTGTGCTCTCTTTGTCTCTCAAAAATAAATGTAAAAAAAAGTTTTTTTCTTTAAAGAATAAAGCTCGAAGGAAAATACATTTCTTGAGAAACTGAAAGTTCAGGCTCATGTCTGTTTAGAAGATCTAACTCATGGTCAGTGATCCAGAACAGGCTGTAATTGATCTATTCTGTCTACTTAAGGTGTATGTGCAAAAATCTCTACAGTTAAAGATAATTTAAAAAGAAAGAATATACTAGATTCGGTGACAGAAAAGATATAAGGCCACCACAAATAACCTCTTCAAATGTGGGGATAGCTCAACATGATGTCTATCCTATATACATGTCCTTTTGTTTGCTTGTTTTTAAACAAAAATTAGTGTTTGTTATCCTTATCATCCAAACAAGACTGCAGATGGGACATCTGTTCAGTATTTATTGAGTACCAACTACATGCCCGGCACTTGTGAGACAGCCATCTATCTGCCCTCCTCAGGTGGTGCTGGGTATCCAACCTCTGCAGTGCTACCCTGAGGACCCACAGGGGGCACTGTGGCCACTGAGAGGAGTGGGACAGAAATCCCCACGGGGAAGGAGGACTGTTAGGGAAGGTTTCCAGATGCTCCTGGAAAGGAAGGAATATATAGGTACTCATGGCAATGAAGACAGAGAAATGGAGATAAATGGGTAGGATCCAGGTCTGCAAAGAACCTTATATACCATATTTTGGTCCAAACTTTATCTCAAAAGTTCTAGAAAGCCAAAAAGACCTTAAGACTGACAACTGACATCAGATTTGTGACTGTAAGCAGAACACCTGGCAACAGTATGGCAGGTGACATGGGGAGCCAGACCGGAAGCCTCTGAGTTCAGAGCTACTTTTGATGACACAGCAAAGGAGAAAGGGAAGGCGTGATGGGGAGCCCTTATGCTGGACTGCTGAAGGCCATACAGGCCACAAGCTACTTGAGATGAGCTTTCTTGCAAGTTTTAAAAACCAGGGTGAACACAGGGACTGTTTCCAAGAATCTCCTTTGTTAACGTGAAATATTTACCTTGCTGACTTTAAACGGTCTTTCTGTGGTCTGGCTTTTGTTAAACTGACTATCCCAGTTTCCTTTGAAATAGATGGCATTCACGAGAATCAGGTTCGTCACTGGGTCAACTGAACCTGGAGATAACAACTGTGTAATTTTACCTGAAAAGAAGAATTAAAGAATCAATGAATTTCCCGATGGTCAGAGAAAGACAAATACCATGTGATCTCACTGATATGTGGAATCCAAGAAACAAGAAAAAGGAACAAAGGGGAAAAAAGAGAGGGAGAGACAAACCAAAACAACAGACTCTTAACTATAGAGAACAAACTGATGGTTACCAGTGGGATGTGGGCAGGGAACAAGTTGAAATAGGTAAAGGGGATTAAAAGAACACTTATCTCGATGAGCACTGAGGAATGCACAGAAGTGTCGAATCAGTATACTGTACACCTGAAACTAATATTATGCTGTATGTTAACTAACTCGAATTTAAATTAAAAAAAAAAAGAGTTTCCTGATGCACTCATCAGGGATAATATTTAAATTGGGCAATCCCCTTGTGAGGTACACAGATAAAGGAGTTCACAGTCCCCCAAATATAACCACATAAGGGGATTCTGGTCCTTATAACAACAGTAGCAACAAAAACTTAAAACGCCCTGGTAAGAAAAATACCATGCCTTCAAGAAAACAGAAGATGAACAAAGAAGTATGTGCAGGCTGAATTCACAAGGTGGACAGAAGGGAATGCTTGGTCCCTTGAAGAAAGAGATTTGATGGACAGTCAGAAATGTGAGAGGCTAGGAGTGCACAGAAGAGTTTAAGAGCTGCAGGTGAATAAGGGCCTAACCAAGGATCCTGCAATAACACACGGTAACTATACAGGATGAGACCTGTATCTGGCTTTTTCTTTACTGTACATTAACATTAACAACAACAATGGCAACAAAGTGGATCATTCTGGAACAGCTGTACCGAGTACTGAGAGACATCACAGACACATCGACAAAAACAGGGAAGAGCTAGAGAAAATAAGCATACACTGACAGTATTTCAGAAGCAGATTTTAAAAATTTACAGTTATTTAGAGAAAAGCATCATTCCTCTTTACATTTTGATGGTCTTGTGAAAGAGGACAGTGAGACCAACTAAGCTACTATTAAGATAGAGCAATGGTGTATTTTCACCTTCCGTCTTTTCGGCTACCCAGGTGTTGATGTGTTCCCTGGACTCTTCTGTAGCGTTAATAAAGTCGAGCTCTTCCATCTCTGCCTGGTAGAATTTACGGCAGGAGTCTTTGAAAGACTAGGAGAAACAGAGCAACATCATCACATGGCTGCAGAAATAATCAACACTTACAGCTTATTTCTTCACTGCACCAAATCAGAATGTAGGCAATTTTGATTTACATACGTAACATACAAATAAATACGAGGAATTAACTGAAAATCCTATTTCTCGTTTTTCAGCTACGTTTAAACTTAGCTTCTAAACCAAGTAAAACAGTTGTCTGAACATCAAATATCAGTAACTACCAGATTCTTTGAGGGATTAACTGCACATCAGTGAGGTAAGTACAAAGACACGGAGACGCAGCTACTACAGAGTGTCGTTCCTGACAAGCCGCTGCGTTTGCTCTGTGAGTCCTGCCCACAGCAAGAGCCACAGCGCCTGTGCATTTCAGAACAATGGACTGGAAACAAGGGCCTGCTGTTCCATACAATGGTGGAAAGTGTATGATTCTACACCACCCCTCCCACTACAACGTTCTGTGATGATGGCAATATTCCAAATCTGCACTGCCCAAAACAGTGCCACGTGCTGCTATTGAATGCTTGGAATATTGTCAGTGCCACTGAGGAACTGAATACTGAACTGTAATTTTAATTATTTACACTGAAATTTAAATAGCTACATGTGTCTAGTGGCTACCATTTTGGATGGCTCAGTTTTAGAGAATGAGCAGCTCTCAAAAAAAAGTATAAACTGTATCATGTTAACAAAGTCTATTAAATGATGATGACATTAGTGAACACATACTTTATGCCATATAAAAGCAGAAAATCTGATAGAGAGTAAATGGAGTGAAATAACTAATTTGTGGAAAGCATGCTATGGAATGGTTTCCCAATCCTTCTTTTGACCAGCTTACAGCTAAATATTTAATTTCCCTTTTCAGGACTGTTTTTCTATTACAGGATTTCACATTGCTCCTTTGATATAGTGTCAGAGAGGTCACGTGGCACAGTAATGTAGCTACAAACACAAGTCCTGCAACTTATTAGCTGTGTGGCCTTTAAAAAGTCACTTTGTTTCTCGAAGCTTCCTTGTCTTTCCCTGTAAATGAGGATTCGGCATCCATCCGAGGACCAGATGAATTCTTATCATCAATGCTGTTTTATGAAATCTCAGCATGTCACAGACACTGCACTAGGTGATCTAGGTATATCGTTTTACTTAGTCCTCAGATACTTTGTGCTCCGCCAACTTTGCTGCTCTGCTGTTGCTCAATGCCTTTGAAAATGTTTTCAGTCTCTCAATCTAAGAAAATAGTCTGGAAGCAAACTGGGCACTCATGTATTGATCCTTGGGTGATTTCTACAACTTTTTATTTATTTAAATCCAAGTTAGTTAACATATGGCGTAATCATGATTTCAGGAACAGAATTGAGAGATTCATCACTTATATATAACATCCAGTGCTCCTCCCAACAAGTGCCCTCCTTAATGACCATCACCCATTTAGCCCATCCCCCTCCCACACCCCTCCAGCAACCCTCAGTTTGTTCTCTGTATTTAAGAGTCTCTTATGGTCTGTCTCCCTCTCTGTTTGTATCTTATTTTTCCTTTCTTTCCCCTGTGTTCATATGTTTGTTTCAATTTCTATAACTTTTAAACACACTTGAAAATAATTGTTTGCGGGACGCCTGGGTGGCGCAGTCGGTTAAGCGTCCGACTTCAGCCAGGTCACGATCTCGCGGTCCGTGAGTTCGAGCCCCGCGTCAGGCTCTGGGCTGATGGCTCAGAACCTGGAGCCTGTTTCCGATTCTGTGTCTCCCTCTCTCTCTGCCCCTCCCCCGTTCATGCTCTGTCTCTCTCTGTCCCAAAAATAAATAAACGTTGAAAATAATTGTTTGCTATTTAAATTACTATTTTATAAGCAATGACTAGTCAAACTGAGGGAATATCTAATTATTAGTTGTGATTGGTATTGGATTCTTGGAACACTAAATTGATAAGAAATTATTGAGAAACACTCCTAAACCCTCTATCTTATATTTCAATATCAAAATAAGATTTGAAACATCAATGATTTCTTAAAAATATCCATCAGAAAAGAAAGTAAATTAAAGAAAATCAGCCAATTCTTTGTGTTTATTGGAAGTTCTGTTTCTTGTTTATACCAAAGGCTTATAAAAAGATGCGGCAACAGCCTAGGAAGTAGCTAAGACTGATAAAAATAAGTAAAACAGGCTGTAAAAAATTCACACCATAGTGAACAAATCTTAGCATTATTTGACCTCGTGCTTGACTACATTTACTTTACTCCAAATATTTTAAAACCGTGAGTCTGAAGCAAGTTTAAAAACTGAAAAAAAATCATGTAATAGAATAAGATTGATATCCCAAACATAGAAAAAGAATAAATCAGTAAGAAAAAGACAGCCCAATAAAAAGTATGTAAAGAAAATTCTCAGAAAAGATACAAATTTCCAATAAACATAAGGAAAGATGATCAATCTCTTAATAATAAAAATTTAAGAGGTTAACAACATGCAGTGTTGATGATGAAGAGTTGAAATGAGCACTCCGCTGGTACCCCTAGAGAGAATGTAAATGGCCACAGTACTCTGGACAATTTCAATATTTGCTATAGCTTCAAAGCTTCACTCCCTTCCTCCCTGCTACAAATCCATCTTAGAGTAACACACGTACATAGGGCACAGGAGTCACGTACACTAACATTCACTGTCTGAATGCCCATCAGTGGGGGAATGGCGTACTAAGTATGTTTCAGTACATCCATACTTAAGAATAGCAGATAACAGTTAAACAGAGTGAGGTAGATCCTCATATATGCAAAGAATTTAAGACACAGTGTTGGGTGAAAAGAAACAAATACAAAATAATACTTTGGTATAATGATGTGACGTAGAGAAAAAACCCACACAACAGATTTGTATATGTACGGGGGATACACATCAGATCTATGAAAGCTTACACCGGGAAGGGGAATGATGAGGTGTGGAAGCGGGTGTGAGGACTCTTGTATTGAGTGCTTTATTTGCATTTTTATGTAACAAGAATATAGTCATCATGCAACAAACATATACTCACATACTCACATATTACTTGAGTAGTTTTTGAAAAATGATAAAAAGCATTAAAGCACTATAAATAAACAGAACCAGTATAATTAGACAAGTAACTTTACAAAAATTCTGCACTGGAAAAAACAATAGAAATATTGCATGTGTAAAAAGTTGAACAAGTATCACAATGCATAAAAAATTATTGATATGTAGAAAACAATGATTAGAAATAATCATTTTGATCACTTCTTTGTTTCAGCCAATTCACTTTGAATTGTGTTCATTCCATGTTAGTTCTTTTGTAATTGTCTCATCAAAGCCTCACAAAAATCTGGACATTATTTGTTATAAGGCTCATTTTACAGAAGATTAAAATTGAAACAGGGTTCAAGGGAATGCATGAAGTTAGTAAGTGGAGACCTGAGTTCATGTGCACCTGTATGAATTCATAACCCACAGGCTTTCTGCTATACTGTGTGACCCCTCCTCCCCACTACCCCGGTGTCTTTACTTTCTTAGTCAAAAACAGCAAGTATGACTTACTGAGAGGAAATCATAAGACTTCTCTCCAAAGAGCCTGTTGGCAGTTCTAAGCAAGTACCGTGCATCAGTCCTGTTGATTTCAGTAAGAAGCGACTGGAACCCCTGGTGGACATCACCTCCTCCGCTGCTCTTACTTAAAGAAAGTGTCTGAAATGAAAAACAGAATACAAATACCTAACTTAAGTGTGCCTTGACTGCAGGAAATGGATACAACACCAAACTCTGCCTAAGAACTGTACAGATCCTAACTAGAGCTTAAAAGAAGATGCATCCAGTTGAAGACAAAAAGCAGCTCGAAAGCCACCCAGTTTGCCATCCTCCAGCACTTTCTGCAAGGAGTCAGGGCACTGCCCGCACTGGCATTAGTGGCAGTGCCCCTTCACACACCGTATTCTATGTGCTCTATAGGGCTGCAAATAAGGCTGCCAACAGGCCTCCCATCTCTGCAAACACAGGCCGCTCCTCATACTGAAAGGTCTGACCTCTCCCATCCATCCTTGGGTCTGGCTGGTGCTGTGATGGGGTCTGGCCACCAGAATGCAGAAGGGACACTATTCCAGGCCGGGGCCTTACAAGGTCTGGCAGCTCCATATTTAATCTCTCATACCCCAGCCACCATGATGTGAGGAAGCCCAGGGTATCCCGCTAGAGGCCACATGGAAAGTCCTGGAGATCTGACACCACATGGGGGAACTACCTATAGGAGAATGGAGGCCCCAGACACATGATAGAGGCCTTCCTAGATCATGCGTGATCCCAGCTGACACCATGTGGGTCAGACCACAGAATCTGAGAAATAATCAGCCTTTGCTATTTCCAACCACTAAGTCTGGGACAATTTGTTTTGTAGCCATAGAAGTTCATGCAGCAATCCAGACATGGACTTCTGCCCTGACAACATCCAAAACATGGCAGCAGCTTTGGGCCCAGGCAGCTGGCAAAGGCCGGGAGGAAGGAGAGTGAGGAGATGGTAAGCAGAGGCTAGAAAGCCACTGAAGAAATCACTAGCAGTGGCTGGAGAAAAGGGGCTCCTGGCATGTCCCAGCAGAAGAGACTGTAACCTGCAGTGGCGAGGAAGGTTGGGCGTTTCCCCAACAAACCAGGTATCTGGCTAAGTAGATGTCCAGAAGGAATGGGGCTTGTAGCTGCCTAGGATAGAGTACAGGAAGGGAAAGAAGAGGTAAAGAAGGAATTGTTTCATTTTCTTTTTTTTTTTTTTTTAATGTTTATTTTATTTTTGAGAGGGAGAGAGAGACAGAGAGTGTGCAGCGGAGGGGCAGAGAGAAAAGGAGACACAGAATCCGAAGCAGACTCCAGGCTCTGAGCTGTTAGCACAGAGCCCGACACGGGGCTCAAACTCCCAAAATGCAAGATCATGACCTGAGCTGAAGTCAGAGGCTTAACTGACTGAGCCACCTAGGCTCCCCTAGGAATTATTTCATTTTCAAGCAGAATTTAAAGGAAAATTTTCCAACCTAAGACTTGGTGGGTAGAAAATTAAAAGGTTTCTTATTCCCAGCCTCTCCAGCTGGCAAATGATTCTAAATGTGAGAAATGGCCTCAGAACAAAGATCAAGTCCAAGGTATGGGCTTCAAGGCAGGATCAAGTTCTACTTTACTAAAACCTGAGAAAGATGAAGGCAGACTAGGTGCCTCACAGACCCACTCAGCTAGACAAAGGGGCTTCTGAGCATCTTAAGGACACTGTCAGCCAGTACTCTCATCCCAGGCCAACACAGAGTCCTGCCTCAAACAGGTTTGTGCATATTATCATTTATATCACTATGTCAATTATAAATTGACACATAGAAACCCCACAACTGTTTAGAGGAAAAACTCTGCCGACATCTCGATCTCACACTTCCAGGCTCCAGAACGGCGAGGAAATACACTTCTGTTCTTTAGGCCCCTCGATCTGTGGTACCTTGTTATAGCACCACTAGCAGACTCAGACATCCCCCCGCCATTTTTGAAGAGAATGTCACAAAACTCTGCACCCAGGAACCATACTAAACAACCTCATAGCCCTGCTCCTCCTGGACTTCAAGCCCAAGACTGGACCTTCTGGGGTCTTGGGAAGGGGGTAAATGTACCTTACCTGTGGAGGACTGGGAATCACTAGGGGCCAAAGGGCAGACCACGGCAGTCATCAGTAACCCAATGAGTTAATGCCTTCAGTATTCACATCGTTATACAGCCCCTCTGACTGACTTTGGACTTGGCCACCTGACTGGTGTCAGCCAACAGCACGTTAGCAAACACGATGTACCAGAGGCTTGATAAGCATTTGTACATTTAAGCTGTTCCTCTTAGAAGCTGGGTACTGTCCTGTAAGGATGCCCAGGCTACCCTGTCAAGGAGACACCACGTAGAAGCCGAAGGGAGGAGACAGCACATAGAGGAAGCCACATGGAAGAGGCCCAAGACCCCACACCAGTGACCCAGCTGGGACCGAGTGGAGCGGAGGCATCGCCCAACACATTCAGAATCCTATAACAGTAATTATCATCTTAAGCCACTAAGTTTTACGGTGCTGTTACTCAATAAGAAACAACTGAAATACTACTGAAAACATTTTTGGCTGACAAGTGCCACTCTAAGAAGGTTTTACACTTAAATGAGAAAATTAAAACAAAAATTTCTAATAATCGGGGTGCCTGGGTGGCTTAGTCGGTTAAGTGTCCGACTTCGGCTCAGGTCATGATCTCACAGTTTGTAGGTTCTAGTCCTGCATCAGGCTCTGTGCTAGAAGCTCAGAGCCTGGAGCCTGCTTTGGATTCTGTGTCTCCCTCTCTCTCTGCCCCTCCCCCATTCACACTTTGTCTCTCTCTCTCTCTCAAAAATAAATAAACAATAAAAAATTTTTTTTTAATTTCTAATAATTGAAAAGCAAGTGACAATATCCAAAACATATCACAGAACTCAACTTGAACCTTGTGACTTTACCCCTACTCAAAAACTCAAACTCATGTATAAACTATCATCAGGGGTAGTGAGATCACTCATTCTTCTAAATGGAGCACACCACTTCCTCCCCAACAGATCTGAGACATCCATTCCGGGGTGCCCACTCGCACAGGGCTAACTCTCTGTCCCCATCCTGCAACACCAGCAGAGGGATCTGTCAAGAGCAAATCCTGGATGTGAAAGTGGAGGACCAGCCCAACTGACAAATTAATGGCATTTACGGTTGCCCAGAAGTAGCTTCAGGTACATACCTGGGCCATCTGGGCTGCAGTGTTTCCCTTGGCGCCCATGAAGACCATGGACAGGGCAGAAGAGATGCTCATGGGCGAGAAAAACACATTTTTCGAGTTATCTTCACCCAGCTTTTTCAGCAGACTTAAGGCAAAGGTGCCGTTTGCTTCTGAAAGAGTATCCATGATGGTGAGCCTGAAACAACAGATTTAAAATCAGTATCACATAAGTACAGGCTTACATGCTGACTGTATTTCACTCTGTTATTAATAGTTACCGTTTTGGTTCAGTGGGCAAATGGCTACCTACACAAAACTCTATTTCTTTTGTGGGCCCTCAAAATTATTTTGCATGTTTCTAATATTACATGAAAAAAAAAACCAAACAAACAATGATATTAATAATACAATCCTGTTTTGGGGGGGGAGCAGGGGACTGCTACGTGCACTTATCTGTGAGCACAGAGAAAGCGTGGAAGGTTGCACACTTGACAGCTTACCTGAGTTACTTCCTGGGGGTGGGACCAAGAAAGGACTTAATTGGCTTTTGCTTCTATTTCTGTATTGTTTGGCATGATGTGGGGCTTATATGTGTTGTTTTATAATTTAAAAACCATTCAAATGATAAATCCAACCACAAGGTTACACACACAAAAAAATATGGCTGAATGCTTTTATCATGTGGGAAAGAGGAACCAAATTTTAGGGTAGCCTGTGGCCTGAAGATAAGAGATAAATCAAACCACATACGAAGTCATACAAATGCCTTAAAAACAAGGACTTTTGACCTTCAATTCTCCTTCTATGAAACCTGTGCTTGTGTCAAAGCCCAAACCCAGGGCCACGTTCCCCAGATCTGTTACTGCCCACAGGCCCAGGCCTTCTTGCCCTTTGTTCTGGACAAGGGCACTGGATAGCAGGTGCCTGCCCATGGCCGCCTCTGGTTACAGGCTTCAGAGGTCAGGGGTCAGACAGCACATATTGGGCATGTAGGGCATGTGGCCACATCCCTGGTGGCCTAGGCAGGGTCCAGAGGAGGAATAGTTCTGGGCAGTCAGGGATAGGGTGGATGTGAGAGTCTTCAAGCAGGTTAAAGCACAGTAGGTCTTTAGAAAGACCTATTATTGACTCCCCTTTGCCATGGGGGATCTGAAGTTCACAGAAGTGAAGTGATGTTTCCAGGCTAAGGAACTGAATAGCTAAGGCTGAACTCAGGGCCAGCAAACTGTCTTTCCACTGCTCCTCTAGATATCCCCACTTCAGGAAGAGCCTGAAGTACAGCACAGAGGGGTCAGGAGAGAAGGCAAGAGGCAGCAAGGGGTCCGAGCAGTCAGTCAGCTGTAGATGCAGAAGAACAGGCTGGTGGGGAGCAGATTTTGGGGAAAGCAGCACCTGCCTGCTCTGATATCACTTACAGAAGTTTACAAACTATGTTTCCCCAGATTGAGGAAATGACTCAGTTGAGCTATGGGGGGGAATCTACAGAACAAGGAAAGGGAGAGGCAAGAGGGAACATCTTCATGGTGTAGAAGGGAAAGGGAAGGAGGTATCTAACAGAAAGACCCCGTGAAGAGAATGAGGAGTTAACCATTCTTCCCCGAGGATGGCTTTATGATTATAACTACAGTGGTTGGCTGCATATGGGCAGCAAAGATATGCCCATACTAACCCTTGGAACATGAGAATGTTCCCTTACACAGCAAAAGAGACTTTGTAGATGTGATTATAGAAAGGATTTTTTTTCATGTTTATTTTGAGAGAGAGAGAGAGAGAGACAAAGCACAAGCAGGGGAGAGGCAGACAGAGAGAGAGAGGGAGAGAGAGAATCCCAAGCAGGCTCCTCACTGTCAGCACAGAGCCTGATGCAGGGCTCAGTCTCAGGAACCATGAGAACATGACCTGAGCCAAAATCAAGAGCCTGACACTTAACTGACTGAGCCACCTAGGCACCCCTAAATGAAAGATCTTGACGTGGGGAGATCATCGTGAATTATTCAAGTGGTCCCTAAATGTAATCACACGTATCCTTATGAGAGGCAGGCAGAGAAGAATTTGAGCAATGAAGAAAGCAATGTGGGGACTGAAGCAAAATGCTACCATGCTGGCTTGAAAACTGGAGGAAGTGGGGACAAACAAGGAATGCAAAAACTGCATCTCTAGAAGCTGGAAAAGGGGTGGTGACAGACTCCCCGCTACAGCCTCTGGGGAGAGCACGACCCTGTCAAAACCCCGGTGTTGTTCAGTGAAGCCTGTCAGCCTTGAGGCCTCCGGAAGCATGAGAGAACAAATGCGCTGAGCTTGCGGGCATCTGCTACAAGAGCCACAGGAAACTAATATTGCAATTTACATACCTGATAAATTTTATTTACTATCCTTGTTTTAAACATTTTGTTTGCAAACTCTATTTATTCACTATAGAGAATAGCTGGGGTGCTGAGCACTCCTGGTTTGCTCAGACTTTCCATACATATCTGAAATTACTAATTTCTAAGAGAAGTACATAGAACATACACCTTATTAAAATTCTTCTGAAACAATGGATTCTTTGTTGATACAGAAATAACTTCAAGATTTTGCAGACCCTTGGGAACATCAATAGAAACAAAAGTAGCTATTCGATGGAACTGATGCAAAAATTATATTGTTTATTTGGATTTTACATCAGCAAGTGCTGCCTGCTTCTCAATTTTAAGAGAAACAACTGTGAAAACAGGTTTAAGAATGAAGAATTAGGTACGAGGACGTACCACAGGGCAAGAGGCACAGTCCCAAGCATTCCTGACACAATCCAATGTCAAGACTCAGGCAGGTGTCTGTGGGTCCCCCACCACACAAATCTTCCTCTTAGCTGGGGACAGGGACACCTCTGGCTTGGCCCCCAAGATGGCTCAGCCCCCACTGATGCTGGCTACCCAGCCCCTCAGCGAATTGAGAAAGCTCAAAGAGCAGTAGTTCCTCAACATAAAGCAGCTTCAGTCTTCTGGCTTTAAACACTGATCCTGGAAAAACCAAGCCAGGACATTCAGAGGAAAACGCACAAGTCAGGAGGGAGATGAGGTTTTCAGTTCCGGCTCTGGGACTCTGAATGTGTTACTCGGTTCCTGCTCCCTGCATGAGGAAGAGGAGGCCAGGTAATCTGTGTGCCCTGCCGTCTTCGATGTCTATTGTTAACATGAATGCAGAAAGAAGAGCCAGAGAGGAGTTTACTCTTCAAAGCCCAAGGTGAAGTCTAACAGCATTCCATTTCTCAGCTGACAACGACGGATAGCTGTTAAAGTGAAATTATGTTCACACTCAGGGCGCCTGGGTGGCTCAGTTGGTTGCGGCAGACTTCAGCTCAGGTCGTGATCTTACCATTCGTGGGTTCAAGCCCCACATCAGGCTCTGTGCTGACAGCTCGGAGCCTGGGGCCTGCTTCAGATTCTGTGTCTCCCTCTCTCTCTGCCCTTCCCCTGCTCATGCTCGCTTGTGCTCTCTCTCTCTCAAAAATAAATGAAACATTTAAAAAAGTTATATCCACGTCCTATGAAAATTGTTAAATAAGAAAGAAACATGAAATCAATGATGGTTGTAGGCTTATTCCAGATATGCAGGATAATCTTACAGCAGAAAGTAAGTTAATCATGAAATAACTGAATTGCCCACTCATAACAAATGTCCTTAAAACAAAAAGAAAATGGTACTTCCTATACTTCCTTAATGTGACAAGGAGTATCAGCCATCATCAATGATAAAATGTTAGAAACAGTTCCCTTGTGCCTCAAACAGGAACAATAACTAGTGATTACATTAAAAAGTTTTAACTTCAGAAAAAATAAATACCCATTTTTGAGTATATACTACACACTGGGACCTATATTAGTACTTTTCCTAAATGACTCTTATAACCTTGTAAAGCTGGTTGAGAATATCAGCATTTGATAAGCAAAGAAATGGAGCCATTGCTCTTTTATCACAAGGCTATACAAATGGTAGAGTGAAGGCTAGAAACCAGGTCTGCATGGCACTGGAGTTCAATCACTAAGGCATATACACTTCCAAAAAAAACAAAAAACAAAAAAAACAAAAAAGGAGAGGTGGAGAGCAAATTTAAGATACCTTTTTAAAACACAATTTTTGAAAGTTAAAAAACCATTAATTTCCAACAATGACTAAGATAGGTATTCCTTCCTATACTGTGTAAATGATCCTATAAATTGCTATGCCAATATTTCCAGAGCATAATTTGCAATTAAAAAAATAAAAATAAAGGACAGGGCGGCAGCACATGGAGAGGTCGCCTCAGCGTCTCTCACTCTACAGAGACTGCAGTGGAATCTGCATGGCTCAACCACTGGGAATCCATGATGGAGAAGAGGGGAGGGGCTTGTGACAACCAGCACATGGATCTTTGCAAACCAAGTTCATGCCTGCAGTGTCCACATAGTAATCCCACCTGGAGGCTTTGCTCATCTGTAGAACTAAGTCAGGGATGCACTCTGACCAGGGAACACACCAGAGTGGAGATCTGCCTGATTCAGATCATCAAACGAGGAGTTCTGCCAGCCCTAGAGCCCAGTCTGCCCATGCCTGGGCAAGATGCTGAGTCATAGCCCCACTCGCAGCTGCTGAGAGTGCCTTCCAGCCCCATCTGACCAGAAGGCCTGGTGACAACTCCTGGAAGCTGTGCTGCCCAGTGATGCTCAAGCTGAGAAGTGGGCAGGCAGAGGTGACTGCCCCCAGAGCAAAGCCAGTACCAGGTACCGAGGCAGTGGGATTAATTCACAGAGGATTGAGGGTAACTCCAGGACTCTCCCAACCAGACAGCCTGTTTGGGAAACTGAAGGTAACTTGGAGCATCCTTCCCTCTCCCACCCAGGCAAGGTAGCTGAATCACAGCCCCACCTGCCTGTGGAGAGTATCTTCTGGCCCCACCTGAATAAAAGGGCTGGAGACAACTCCTGGGAGCTGTGCAGCCCAGGGGTGCTGAGCCAAGAGAAGGGCAGATAGAGCTGAGAATCTACAGAGTAAAGCCAGTGGCCCTGTTTAGCAGGGAAATTAGGGTGTGGATCAGCTTGAGTTAAGACAACAAAGAGTTTTGGGCCCCTGGGTGGCTCAGCTGATTAAGTGTCTGACTCCTGATTTCATCTCGGGTCATGATCTCAGAGTCATGAAATCCTGCCCTGCCTTGTGTCAGGCTCCACACTGGGTGTGGAG